ATAATGATCTTTGGGCTAATTGTAAATCAAATACTGCAAAAATAAGATGTCTCAAAGAATTATTGACAAAAAATGGAATTATTGGCAGACCAACTGTAGAGAAATGTAAAAAAGCTAAAAAAAGAAATGAAAGACTTAAAGATGTTGCTGAATTAAATACAAGTAATATTATTTCAGAAGGTTTGTACTTTTATAAACTTATCAAATATATATAAAATATTATAAATAATATAATGAGAAAAATTTTAGGACGTATCACACGTGCTCAAAGAAATAAAGATCCTAATAAAGAATCAATGAAAATATCTGAAACACATACAAAACATCGTGAAACACGTAATACATTTAAAAGAGTTTTAACCGTTATTGACAGTGATTCAGAATGAAATGTCAATGATTGAAGTTTATTTTGGGGGGCAATTAATGTTTTATCTATTTTTGTATCTATTGATTGTTTTTGAGGAAGAATCCTAGAATATTAGTTTTAATTAGAATTATTCTCATGATATTAAAAGTTATGCTTAAATATAATATTTAATGTTAATTTAATAGCTTCCTTTATGTTTAAATTATATTAAGATTCTTGCATCTATAAAGTAAAGTTAATAAAATTAGAATAATCTTCAGATATTATAAATCCAATGTAAAAATAATCAATTATTTAATTATATTGAATTAATTTTAAATAAAAATCTGTTTCTTGTTAATATTATAGATGACATACTTCACATACTTCATCTTATAACTTTTGATATCAAAATTAACTATTATTTTTGGATTCTATTAAATTTATATTACAAAAATACATAAAAAAAATTAATGCTTCTCTAAAATAAATTTAATCATATATTTTTGATTTGTTTACTTACCTTATTATGGTAAGTATATTGTATTTATTTTATGTATATTAAAAAAATATTGATAATTAATGAAATAGAATAAGATAAATAATAAGATGTAAAATTACAATATTTTAATCTATTTTGAAATACAGTAAAAAATACATTTACATAAAAATTATATTATTTAGATATATATCATTATAATTATATATATAATTCTTATGTATATAAAAATAATAAATAATTCTAATTTTATATATATAAGAATTATTATTATAATATAAAAATCTATTTTATAATTGATTTAATATTTTAAGTTACTTAATAATATCTTTCAGATATTTTTGATTATGATTTTATTTAAAATTAATTTGGTTTTACACAATTATACAAAATATGATCAAAATCAAAATAATAAAACATTCTTTGTTATCTTATTAAAAATATTTAGTTTTTAAATAAATATAATATTTATATAGTCCTAAATATTATTTTTGAATTAAACTTAAATAAAAGTAAACATTAAAATAAGTAATATAATTTTTAAATATAATTTATTTATTTAAAATTTTATTAAAAATTGATAGATTATAATTGACATAATACTTTAAAATATTTTTTGATTACATATCTTTTTCTTACAAACAATTTAAATTAAATATATTTTAATAATAATAATAATAAAAATATATATAGATATCGTGAATATAATATAATGTAATTTTTTAAAAAATATTATTGATTTTCAATAACAAAATATTCTATCACAAAAAAAGATTGAGATTAAATAATAAAATAAAAATTGAAACTTATATATTATTTTTTTTTAAATATAAATGTATGAATGTAAGTATACAATGAATATTTTTTTAAAAAATGAATTAGATATTTAATAAAAATATATTTTTTATTAAATACATTTATTTTAGATATTTTAGATTATTATTTTAGATTGTATCAGCTTTGTTTCTTAATAATGAATGTATTGACAACATTTATAAAAAATTTTAATTTTGTAATGAAATATATATTTTTATAACAATTAAAAAAAAAAAGAAAGACAAAAAATAAAAAATATAAGAAAAATAATAAAAAATTATTAAAAATAGAATAATAGAAATACTATTTTACTATTATAATTTGTTATTTAATTTGTGAATGTAAAAAATTAGAAATGCATTCCTTGCTACAAAATATTTTTTTCTCTTTAACTGCAAATTTGCTACTTAATAAATTTTTATTGCATATATAACAGCAAAAACAAGCTTCTGTTGCATGAAAATTTAAATCCTTAACAGCAACACCTTTTTGATCAGCAGCAATTATCTCCTTACATAAGTTACATGTTTTTGCATATGTTTTTTGATAACATAAAAGACATAGTGGACGATCATTCTCTGTAATATACTGTTTTCCAGCTAATGGAACATCACAATCCCAACAGCAAAAATGTTTTACATGATAATTATGACCTTCTGCAACAGTATATTCTCGTACAAAAATAAGCTGTAAAATATAAGAATTATTTTAAATTATTAATAAAAGGAAAAAAAAAGTTTTTAATGCATAGAAAATATTAAATAATAAATAAGAATATTTTAAAATTTTGGTTTATATTATACTTACTTCGTCGCAAGCAAAACATCTAGGAATTCCTAATAGTGTTGCTAAATCTCTACCACAATATAATTTATTTTTGTAATAAAAGTATACTAAATCTACTAGCAATTCATTACACATATTACATACGAAACATCCTGGATGCCATATTGCATTTTTAGCTTTTTCTGTAATTACGGCAACATCACCAACATGAATTTCTTCTTTACATTTATGACATTTTTGTAATTTAGAATTTATTGTTAATTGATCTATGATATTTTTAAGATGTTCTGCATTTATAAGATCTTCTGATTGCTTTGCTACAGAAATAGTTTCATATGGAAAAATTTGCTTTTCCAATTTTTCAGAATGAATAACAGTGGAAGGTGTTGTAAAGCTATTTAGTGTTGCTTGATAATTATTGATATTAGAAGTCTGTAATTGTGATGATGAAGCTGATGAAAGAAGTTGATTTTCTATCATTTTCGAAGAAGTTAATGATTTATTTTCTTTTGAATTTTCTATATTAAAAGTTTCTGTAGAATCATAAGTATTCTTTTCTATATTTTGAAGTTTTCCTTTTGATGGAATTAACATTTCAGGATTGTTTATGGTAGTAATAGTAGCTATTTGATCAGTTTCTTTATTAATATTTATGGGAAAATTTTTATTTTGCGAATTATTTGAATTTAAATTTTTTGCAAAATTGGGAATATTGATTTGTTTTTGATTTTCTTGATTACTATATTTATTTGTGAGTTTTTCACGTATATACATTAGACTTTTCTCATCTAATGTACTTTTAATTACATCAGTTGTATGCACACTAGATGGTAATAACGTATCTACTAATAAAGTTTCAACATCAATATTATCATTAATTGATTTTGAATTTAATAGAGAAGTAGATGGATTTTTGAACATATCTTTATATGCTTCTTTATAACATTCAGATGGATTCGAAGGTAATGTTATTTTAGAATTTACATTTGTAACTACTGTATCATTTAAATGGTTTTCATTTAAGTTTTCAGTTGTTATATTTTTTATATTTTGATTATTACTTCTAATATTTTCATTATCATTGCTGGTTATGTTATATTTCTCAAAAATTTGATTATTTTTAATATTACTATAATTATTTGGTGTGTCTAGAGCACAAAATTCATGAATATTTATATTTTCATGCACATTTTTTTTATATGAACATTTTGGAGCAAAACTACTTGGCGTACGTAATTGTACAAAGCTTGGTGATAAATTAAGTTTGTTTTGTGGATTAAAACGTTGCATATCAGTAGCATTCACAGGTGTTACTAATGATCCATCATATGGACGAGCGCTTAATATCTAGAGCATAAATATAAATATACTTACAAAAAAAATAAAAAAAATTAATCTTATATATTAATCAATAAGATTAATAAATTTATTATAAAAAATAACTTATCTTTGTTATAAACAAATATAAATACTTACATATATAAAATAATTCTTATATTAATCAATAAAATTAAATTTGTTATAAATAAAAATAACTTACCTTTGTTACTATTCCTTGTCCTACATATCTTTTTATATTTTCTAAATATTTTTCAAACTGTTTTTTTTCTTGATCGCTTAATTTATCACAATTTTTATAATCTATATCATGAAGAGGTAATTGTTTTTGCAATAATTGTCTTCTTAGAGCTGCACCAGCTGATCCTTTAATAGGTAACTTATCTATAGGTAAAGCTCTCATATAATCTACAGCAAGTTCTTTTGTTGTATTTGGTGGTATCCATTCAAATGCTTCTTCTATATATTTCTTTCCATCATTTATATGTAATACTAGAAAGAATTTAATACTAATTCTTTAATATATATATTTTTTTTAAATATATATATATATATATCATTTGTAATAATATTTACGTATTGATTTCTTCTTATATTTTTTTGAGGTTCCAAATAACAAATCAAATTGTGGGAAATCATCATCATCAACATCATGATCATCTTTATTGCATTTACAGTTTTTACAAATTTTTCTCCAAAAATGTAAATCTAAACCTGGACATGCTGTTTTGCAAAGAACACAAGGTGCTCCAGCTCCAGCTTCATGTGCCAATCGAGGCTATATAAAATAATTATAATAATTTAAAAATTCTTCTAAACAATTAATTTATTAAATTAATTTAATATAATAAAATTAATGTAATTAAATATTTTTATTCATTAATTTTCAAAGAATTACAAATTGTTATAATTATATTTAATATATAATAATTGTTATAATATATTCAAATGTAATTTATTAAAATTTAATATGGTCTAAAAATAGTTATATTTTTTTTTTTGCAACAATTATAATAAATATAATAAATGAAAAATATGATAAGTTACAGTAAAAAATTGTTTTGAAAAAAATATTTTTTTTTAATATATTTAAAAATTATTTTCAATTTTTACCTTTCTTTTTCGATTTTCCAATTCTAGCAACCATTTCGGACGATCATTTATATCCATATTATTCATTTTTAATTAATTTTTTTTATTTTATTACAAATATAAAAATAAATATTAAAGAAATAAGTATTTCTTGAAGTCACTTGACACTTGCACAAACGTGTGACTCATCACCATGATGCAGCAAAGTACTTATGATTCTTTCCCTCTACACACTATACTTGATGCTAAGAGAGATTCATGTATACTGAAATATTCTTTCAAAAAGCTTTCCCATATACATACTATATACTAATATCTATAAACTACTTTCATGACATATACATACTATACATATATTATTTATCATATACTTATCAATATTTTCATAATAATATATCAAATACTTTCTTATTTGAAAAATAAATAAAAGAAAAAAATAATTTCAGTAGAATACATTCAAGTAGATTTTTTTAATATATGATATTTTTGGTTATATATTATATTACTTCTTTTAAATTTCATAGAAAAATTTAATTAAATAAAAAAATAATTAAAATATATTTTAACATAAACAATTTATTTTATTTTAAGTACTATGTTATATTAGTAAATGAAATATATATGGTAATATAAAAATTTAAAATATTCTACTGTTTATTTTTATATATATAATAAACATTCTTATAAAATAAATAGAAAAACTTATTCAAACATAGTATTAATATATAATATATATTATTTACCTTTTTTTTATTTATTGATAATATTTTCTATATATAAATATACAAAATATATCATTATAATAATATTTTTTGTAATTATCTATTTATTTATTTAATTTAAATTTTTTAATTAATTCCAAAAGCAGCATCAAATTCTTCTTGAGAAATCTGAAATAATTATTCATTATTCATTAGAAATATATACAAATATTTACTGTAAATAAATTTTTATTTTGAAAACTATATTAATATTACCTTCTTTTTTTTTAATTTCTTAATTAATGCTATATCTTTTGCTAGATCTTCAATATCTTGTTCATTTATCTTTCTTTTTTGTCTTTTTGCTGAGTTTACTAACATTTTTTGTTTTAGTTTTTTTTCTTTTCTTTTTTTACGATTTTCTTGTCTTTCTAATTTTTTCTTTTTAGCTTCAGACCATGGTTCCGTTTGTTTGCGTTTATTTTTATGTATCTTAGGCCATGTTCCAGTGTCTTGAAAAATTTTTAACTTTTCTAAGCGACTTTTTTCTTTTTGTTTGTCTGAATATGCAATGGAATTGATATCAACATGTTCTTCTTCAAAACTCGATGTATCTTTTCCTTTAAGTTCTGGCATACGAGGCATTCGCAATAAACCAAAACTCATTGCAAGCTTTCCTAAATCAATATCTTTCAATCTTAATATTAAATTACACTCATGTTTATTATATGCTTGGATATATGATACAAATGCTCTATTAGCCTTATCAAAAAGAAATCGATCTTGCTTTTGTAAATCTCTCATATATTTTAAACACTTTTCATATGAAATTATGGATGATTCTAAAACTATTTGTTGTATTTCTACTTTTTGATTTCTTTTAATAAAGTCTACATATGCATCTTCTGTTTCTAAGAGGAATAATAATGCATTTCCTTCATTGCCTATCCTAGCAGTTCTACCACATCTAAAGAAAATATAATTATTAATTATAACAAAATTATTAATAAATAAAAAGATTTAATCTATCTAGTAAATCTACTTTTACCTATGAATAAAATTACTAGCTGAACAAGGAGGATCATATTGTAATACCCAATCCACTTCTAAAATATCAATACCACGAGCCATTACATCTGTGCAAATTAAAATACCATTTTTGATGTTTCGGAATTCATTAAATATTTTATATCGCTTATTTTTCATTTTACCATGAATTGCAAATACTTGTACAGATGGTAACATTCTAAAATAGAAATATTATAAAATTATAAGATTTATTTTAATAAAATATATTTAAATGATTATATTATATAATGTTTAAATAACTTACGCTTGTACAATATGATTAAAATAATCAACACATGCACAAGTAGATAAAAAAATCATATATTTTAAATTAGTTCCTTCATGCTGAATAAAATCTATCATTGTAGAAAATTTGTATTCAGTATTTACAATAACAAAATTATTTTTTAAATTTGATGGTGTAGAAATATTTGGTTTTTCTTTAACAGTTATCAAAGATGGATTTCTAAGTCCAGCTCTTATTAATTGTTGTAATTCTTTTGTTTGAGTTGCAGAAAATAAACCTGTTCTTCTAAGACGTGGTAAATAAAGTAAAATTGTATCTAATACTGTAGAAAAACCTAGATCTAATAATCTATCAGCTTCATCTAAGATCAGTATTTCCTATAAATAATATTGTTATAAATTCTTCAATAAAATTATTCTAAAAATATTTAATGTTTAAAAAATTATATTTACCAAAGATTTTACATATCCTGCTAAGTTTATGATTTTACAATTAGATAATATATCTTCTAATCTACCAGGTGTAGCTACAATAATATTTGCTCCTGCTTTAAGTCTGTCTGCATCTTCTGCAATTGTTGTACCACCGACAAGTAATATTTGTTTTAAATTTGGTATATTGTTTAAAAACTTTTGTAAAACTTCATTTATTTGTATAGCTAATTCTCTTGTAGGACTAATTATTATTCCTCCAATTTCTGTAGGTTTCCATTTTTCTTTTCTTTTCTATTTTGAATTTAAAAAATATTTCATAATATATTATTATATAATTATATATTATATATATTATTATATATATTATTATATAATTATAATAAAATATTATATATATTAAAATAATATGTCTACTTTCTTATAATAAATAAATATTTATTAAAGAAAATATTCATAATATATAAATTTCATATAATACCTGTAATATTTCTAACAATGGAACTAAAAAAGCAATTGTTTTTCCACTCCCTGTTACTGCTTCTGCTGCAACATCTTTTCCTTTTAATAATAATGGTATAGAAGCTGCCTGTATATAATTAGAAAAATTATATTAATATTTAAATTTAAGTTAATTTAAACATCATTTTATTAAAGAGAATATAAATTTAAAATCTTTCATATATTTATTTTTTGTTAGAATTTTTTACCTGTACAGGTGTCATATAAGTAAATTTTAATTCTTCAATAGTTTTAAGTACAGAATTGCTTAAAGGCAATTCTTTCCAATTTTGTGTTTTCATTATAAATTATAAAATTTTCTTGAGTTTAAAAAATTAAAAGAGATATAATTTTATTTTATTCTTAATATTAAATATTTATTTTTAAGTAATTTTGATTTATAGGTTATATTGAATATATCGTTACTGATATAGTTCATGAATGAGATAATACATAGGTTATCTTAATAATTTCATTATACATTTTTAGAATATTATTTACATATATGAATTTTTTAATTTTTCAATTTCTTTATTATATTTTATTATTAAAAGTTTTGTTATATTTTTATAAATTATTAAATGAATATGAAGGATACAAGGATATCTATATAATATAAAATATATATGACAAATTTTCACGATTAGAATTTAAATAGGATGTCAAAAATAAATAAATCATCATATACAAATTGGCTTTTAACACATTGAGTTTATTTTGATGTTTTTTTTTAAATCTCTTCCATATAAAATTTGTGTCTAACGATGCCACACATTCAACTATCTCTCAGATAAGGATCGTCTGCCTTCATTTCTTTTATATACACGACTAGGTCTAAGGCCGTAATTCAATTTGTTTTTATGCCATAATATCTGACAGTACTCGTTTATACATAAGAGGTACGCAATTGATTTAATTGTTATAATGATTTTAGATATTTAACGCAATGAATTCTTCAGTCTATAGAGCAAAATATTATTTTTTTTGTAAATTTCCTTAATACTTTCTTCAATTTATAATACGTATTATCTATAAAAAAAAATCAAAACTCATCTATAAAGATATTATATATATAAATTATGTAACATTTATCTAAATGAAGTTTGGGTGTAAAATATTTCAATACTGAAAATTAAATTTTAAAATTAAATGCAATTAATAATATTTTCTATATTATTTTCTTCATAATATTTCTTTTTTTCTCTCTATTTAAAAATAAAATGAAAAATTTATAAATTTATATATTGTAAGAAAATAAGATATTAAATTTATAAATGTTATGTCATCGAAAATTTATATTTTAAATTGCTAAACAAAAACTAATTATTTGTACCTCTTTACACACATAGATGCGTTTCTGTCATGATAGGATTGACTGGCGGAACGTTTTAAACGTTATTTATCAGATCCTTTTCTTCTTATACATTTTTTTCTAATTTGACTTACTCTTTGCTTTGAGGACCTTATGTATTAGCATCTCATAACAAAATCCATCATCAACAAATTGCAAAATTTTGAACTTGATTTGAATTATTTTGATATCATGTCATTCATTTTTATATAATTAAACGCAATTCGATGAAATTTCGAAGAGTTAGATCGACCTGTTCCCGTGCTTCCTGTTCACTGCAGTGAGATATCAAATATGAAAGCGCGAGCAGAAAAATATATCATATGCTCTATTTTTTACATTATTCCAATAATTACTTTGTGTAAAAAAAAGTTTTTACTCGTGTGATGTTCATTATTATTCCATTTTTGAGTACCCAAAAAAGTTTGAAGATACATATATCATTAGACTATTGGATAGCTCTTTATGTCAACCTTATAGGTTAAATTTTGGCTTAATAATTCTTTATAAAGTAGTGCGAGCTTTAATAATCAAAAGTAAAGTTTCTTTAATTTTAATATTTCTTGCAGTATTTTTGTAATCACAGTCCCTCATTTCTTTCATTTCCTAATATATATTGCATAGGCACCACCTATCAATACAATTTTGAAGAATGTTTGTTCGCCAATTTTCTTTTTACATTTCATATGTCTCTATAAATTAATCTTAAAGATGTTTGTTTTTTGTTGTAACATTTAAATTACTAACATAACAGTGTAATAAATTGCATACTGAAATCTGTCTCATATGATTAAGATTTAAATACAACTTGAGGGACTAAATATTGTTGTGGGTCTTGTAAATCACTAACCCACTTCAGTCACTTTCAAGATGATCAGCACTTCATTTTATATTACTACAATTTTATTAGTTTTTTTTTAGTTACTAGTTATTATTTGAATTAAATGAAAAACATACTATTTTATCTGGAATGATACTGTTATTAAGAAAAGAAAAAATATATAAGTTTTACGACAGAAAGAAAGAAACATATAAGATTGCTTATAAATATGTTGATTCATATGATAAGCAAAGAAATGATTTTAAGTGCTTAATGCCATCATGAAAGTAACTTAAATTTATAAACTTTATTCTACCTCTGCAGAATACTAGTAGTTTTCTCTTTCTTCATCCATTTCTGATTGCAGCTACTGATTGTGCGGTAAAATCACTGGTATAGTTTGCTGCGCTCCTGGAGGTGGTTGCGGTGGTAGGTATTGCATATGCTGCGGTGGTATCGGTATATGAGGAGGAATTATAGGACACATTATTGGATAACTCGGAGCATGGCCTTGAGGAGGTGGTGGAGGATATGTGGGTTGTGGAGTACCAGGAGGGTTATAAGTGCCTGGTGTGTGTGGTGGATTAGGATTAGCTGGAGAAGGAGTTTGACTTGGTGGTTGTTGAGCAACATGAGGATGTGGATGTGTATGTGGACCCATGTATTGAATACCAGGGGCTTGCGGTCCTGGTGAGTCATGATGATGATAAGGTGTTGCCATATGTGGCGGTGGTGGTGGTGCCTGAACCATGCGTACCATCTGTTGATATGCTGGTTGACCAGGATAAGGCACCTGGAATGGTGGATGTAGAGGGGCCGGTGCCATTAAAGGCTGTCCAGTTGCCGCCACTACTTGCATCTGAGAAGCTATATCTTGTGCACGATGTTGTGCATGCATTACTGGTACTGAAATCAAAATAACATACAATTTATATCATTATTACAAATGATGAAATTTGTGAATTATATTTTAAAATATTTGCTAATAAATAGAAAATTGAAAATAAGATGTGGATACCTAGATACTGACCCTTCCGGAACCTTGTCACAGGTTGAGCTGGTGGCTGACTGAACGCAGTTGGTGGTTGGCTAGTCATTACATATGCTGGCATAACTACAGTAGCAGGCATTGTTGCTCCAGTATACTGAGGTGTTTGTGGAGTATGTGGTCTACTTGGTGTTGGTGTACTTGGAGATCGCTAAAAATAGATATTTATCTCACATTTTAATATCATTCAATTATTAATTAAATTTCTTATGATTGATAGCTTACCGGTGTAAAAGGTTTAGTATTTGGATTAAATTCTTTAGCATTTGGATTTAATGTTGATTTTTTGAAAGCTGTCGTAATTTTATCAACTGTAGTTTCTTGTGGAGCTTGAGATACAGTAGGTGTACTTGTAGAAGTTTGTTGTTGTGATTGAGAAGGACTTGTAGGTCGCAAAGGTAATGGACCTGGTGGTGGTTTACTAGTGACCACAGTTTCTTCTGAAACAGTTTGATTTTGATGTGATTGTTGTTGTTGCTGTTGCTGTGGAGGGTTTGGATGTTGTTGTAATTGTTGCGGTTGTTGCTGCGACTGTTGGGATGTTGTATGTTGATGAGATGATTGATGATGCGTCTGAGTAATTTGTGGCGACGAATGAGCATCCTGTTGATGTTGATGTTGATGTTGCTGCTGCTTTCTGGTAACTGGCGTTGTATCTTGTGCTGGTGTTTCTGCTAACTTGAAATCTGAAGCAAATTGCCTCAGTTCTGAATGTTGTTCTTCTCTACTACGTGGTGTTGGAACCTTTAATGATATATTTGTTTCATAATTTTTTTAAATATAAAATATCTCAAATATAATTTGTAGATAAAATATTACCTTTCTGTGATCTGACTTATGTGAAACTATCTCACATCGTTGTCCCTCGACCGAATTTTGCTGCTGTAATTGACCATGTTGTTGATGTGATGATTGCTGCTGTTGGTGAGAAGTAGTAACATTCGTTTGTGGAAATGGTGCTGGTGGTGCTTTATCAGCTTGATACACTTGTTGTCTACCAGGACGATCACGTTTTTCCGTATTTATTTTAGATGATGATGTTTGTTGTTGTTGTTGTGGTGGGAAAGTAACTTGTGGTACAGCAGAAGTTGTTTGAGATTGTGGTTGTGATTGTTGAATTACAGGTACTATAAATATAAATTCGTTTAAAAAATATAATCTATACTTTCTTTATTTCTTTTATGAATTAATATAGCATAAATATGATTTGTCAATACCTGGTGGTGGTGGTTGCGTAGTTGGTGGAGGCACAAATGGTGGTGGAGGATTATTATATGTAACCACTACTCCACTGGGTGGCATTCCCATATTTAACGATACCGAGTGTTGCACTGAAGGATGTGTATTTTGCATTCCAATAGGAAGATTCGAAGTTGGAGGAATGTTTACATTTACATTGGACGGAGATTGTTGATTAAAAACATTTTTATTGGCGGTTGCAGATCCTGGTGAAGATGGGGGTTCACTAGATCTCATCAACTTTGAGCTATTTCCATTTTTCTTTTTCAATGGAGGTGGAATATATTTACCTTCAGTGGGTCTCACCTAAAATTATGTGTAATTAATATAGAAAAGATAATTTATACTTTTATTTTATATAACTGTAATAATAGTAAAAAACTGCACCACAGCTGCAAATCTTTCTTCCTCATCTCCATTTTCAAGTTCTAATCTAGCTTTGTAATTTGGTTGTGATTCTATTTCATTTGCAATTTCTGCAGCTTTTTGTTCTTGCTCTTTATAATCTTTTGTATCTTTTCTTTGAAGTGGTAATGTATAAGCAGCTAAAGTTGGTTCATATGTTGTTTGAACTCCATATTTTTGTTCATTTTTACGAAACATATCATCAGCATCCCATCCATTCTGAAATTAATTATTTTCTAATTATATATATATTATTTATATATACTCTTAAATTTATATTAATATAAAAAATACTTACTGTTGTACCATCTAATTTTAAGTCATCTCCATTCATAGTAGCAGGAGGAGCATCCCAAGGTTCTAATTCTTTCTCACCAATTAAGCCATTATATTTACTAATAACAGTATCTGTTCTAAATGTATCACGTATAGCATAATCTAAATCCACATCCTTGGCAGACATAGTAATAATATCTTGTGGTTTAAAAATTAATTTTTCTACTACACTTTCCACACTAATTTTTCCTGAACCTTCTACACGATGAGCCATTTCTAAGACAACATCAAATTGACTTGAGAAAGTGCGAAAAATACCTTCATATATTGATCCATTCAGTGTTT